TATAATATACATTAATATACGATATACATCTATAACTTATGTATATATATATGTGTGTGTGTGTATGTGTGTGTATATATGTTATATATATATATAGAGAGAGAGAGAGGTTGGAAATGGGTGTGAAATGGGTGTGAAATGGGTGTGAAATGTAGGTTCATGTGCCAACAATCCTGGGTGGTTGAGGGTGGTATGTCGTGAAGAGATTTCTTGGAGGTTCTGTTTGGTCATCTTCAAACTTGCAGAAAGGAAGCTGCCGGAACCTCCACGGATAGAGGTGAAACAGGTGAAACACCATGAGGGCGGACGGCAGACATGATGGGGATCTAATAGGGATTATTATGCAAAGATCAGGGGGCTGCCCGTCACCAACCAAGAAGTTTGGGGATGAATTGTTTCTATTGTTTTGTTTGTGATGTCCCCTACAATATAGAAGGACTCCCGCCCCTAATATGATATACATACTCCACAACCCCCAGGTGCTGGAATGTGTTGGATCTATTTATGAATGCCCGAGTCATGAGGGGGTAGGGGATGGGATTAATAGGAGTTCACATTGTTAGCATTTATCAACCACTATTGATGGACATTCACACATTCCAAACTGGACAGTAAGCTCTCTTATAGTAAGACTATAGTGGATATTAAGCAAAAATTGAAGCACTATTCAACGTTTTTTTATTGATATTCATTCCAAGACAGCAACCAGTAATTAGATGTAATTAGTGGATATAAAGCATTGTTAATTGTTCTATGAATGGAGAAATTCCCCATTCATGGATATATTTAATGATATTTATGGATGGATATTCCCATGAAACACCATTGAAAAAGGGGATAGCGTCCGAGGCAAGAGGAGGACCTGCGGCGTGCGGCGATGGAGGTGGAGGAGAAGAAACGCGAGCAGCAGCGAATGTACCTCGGCGGTCCTCGGGTGATCCTCAGCTGTTTTTTCCCGATTCATGTGGATTAATGTGATTAATCTGTGAATCATGTAAAATCACCATATTTGGGATGAAACTCCTGCTAAACATGGTAGGTTGTAACTATCAAGTCCTCCGAACATTTGGATCATACCTGAAGCGACTCAAACAAAGTCTGAAAAAGTGTAAGACTCTTCCACGCTTCCTGCTACCCTCCCGTAGGTTCCTCTAGAGTTTGTTTAGCAAGGCTTGGGTTGGTGAAATCCACGAAGAATGTATCAAATGAAGACCATACTCAGCGGGTTGATCAAAGGGAGGCTATTTCCAGTGCCAGGTGAGATGTTGCCAGAATGTAAATCCATAATTATGCGAGTGACCTCGCTGCGACTTGACTGGGGTGATGGTCAACAACTTTTAGGTTGGCGAAAAAATGCATTTATCAAATTTATCATCATGAATTCCATATTCATTCATATTTACGGTACCCAGCCATATTTATCCATATGTTTATCCACATGTTTATCCATTGGCGCCAGACAAGTTACTTAGTCAGACAGAGGCGCGAGGAGCTGGAGCAACAGCAGGAGGAAAAGTTGGAGCTGGAGGAGAAGTATAGCTCCACTGAAGAGCAGGTGTGGTTGATCTACCCATCAGAAAAACCATTGAAAAACCACTGAAAAACCACTGAAAAACCACTGAAAATCTGAAGATTCTACCCCTATGGAAACTATGGAAACCCCTGTTGGTTGACGATGGTTGATGATTAGTGAAGGAAGATTATACTAAGATATACGGACACCATATCTAATCACGAAATGTGGAGAATATAATGATTAGTTGGGGGATTACTGTTGATGATGGTTGATGATTAGTTGGAGGATTATACTGTATACCACATCTAACATCATCTAGTGGGGAACATATATATATATATATGTATATATGAATATATCACAGTCACAATCCATTAAATCTGCTCCCTGAGAGTTTTTAGGAGGAAATGGGAAAAGGCCACGAAAAAAGACACATAGGATAAAAGCGGGAGGTGTTTTTTTTCCAAAGTTGAAAGAGGAGGACAGGACTCAATGAACAGCACAGTCGCTGGTGATGTGCCACAGATGTCCAATGCCATTTCTCTCTTGGCATAGAATGGCCGCTTGCACAGGTTCAGAAGATGACTGCAAAACTGGAGAAGCTCTGGAATCGTCACAAGCAGACCCAGGAAGAGGTACAAGACCTCCAGCAGGAGTTCCAAACCGAAAGGGAGGACATGCTGGATACCATCCGGGATCTCCGGAAAGAAGTGAAGTTGGTTTGCCTGACCATTGAAAATTTCATCCCTCCGGAAAGAAGTGAAGTTGGTTTGCCTGACCATTGAAAATTTCATCCCCATGGAACAATATCAGCAGATCGTTGAGCGTGCGCACTTCGATGAATCCTCGGATGAATGGGTCATCAGCAATGTGGACCTGGCAGGAAATCGCATCCGAAGGAGAGGCCGCATGCTGGATGATGATGGCCGTCGCCGGCCTGGAGGGGATGGCAGGGATGGCAGCCCTGACCCTGTGGCCATGATGAACGAACGTCCCAACGTCTACTTCGCCTATACCGAAGATGGTGGGGCCCAACGGGCTGAGACCAGGCCCCAGGCCAAGCAGAAGAATGGGAAGTCGCAACGCGTGAAGTCCGCAGGACGTCCAGGGACTGCCTCCAGGAAAGGGCGCGGGGTGAAACAGCAGGCGGTAGGCATCAACTTTGTACACTCCCCGGATCCCATTGAGGATGTGGAGGAGGCAGCCTTCCCCAAAGCACGCGGCTTGGTGCGAGCTGGGTACCAGGGCTAAGCCGCTAAGCCCCACGTGCTGGAAGTACAGGTCTAGCAGGTGAGCCGCTCGCAGATTTCCTCAAATTCGCTTTTGCCGTGATAGCTCGTAGACTCCGAGTTCAATGATTTTACTGTTCCAAAGGGTATCAGATGGTATCAGTATAATGGCAGGGTATGCAGTGTTATCAATGTTCGTAGCCAGCAATGGTCCCCAGCAAGAGTCGACAAATCAGTGGACACTCATGCATGTCCGGCCCCATCAAAGAGCCGGCTATAGTCATCACATTCGTTTCACGCGATCTTATGCCCGGGCTTCTCGTGCGTGATAGACTAGGAGAGAAACTTCGGCAGTTGATTTGCTCACCCATTATATTGTTTGGTGATGTTTGGTGAGCCCATTTCTAAAGAAAGTACTCTTTACTCTTTACTTTTCATCCTGCCTGCGTTGATGACCCCTCCCCTTTCCCATCCTTTACCAACTGGGATTTGAAACCACCAGTCAGATCACCTTGGAAATGGATGTTGGAGCCCGAACACGCCGTGATTTTTTTTTCGCCCAGCGGCGCTGCACATGGGTAGCCGATAGAGTCCCACTACACTGGGCCCTACCTACAGCAGCGGAATTCGTGTCTCACAAGTACCATGTGCTTCAACACCAGTGTGGATGCAATCGGCCCAAAACCACCGCCATCAGGTTGCACAGCCCCGTGGGGATTGCAAAGCACGACATGGGGAAGCTAATCTCTTGAATCAGCCGGGATGTAGTGAACCATGGTGAAGATGGGTGAAGATGCATGTGAAGCTTGAGGTATGGCATGTTATGTTTGGAATGATTTGGAATGCATCAGCTGATTTTGGGCTCCAATTGGCCAGTGTGCCACTGGCACTGGTCGCAGTTGCTGATGACTCTGGGAGTTCAAAAAACAATCCAAAAAACCAGTGCAGGCTGGACATGTGTGGCCACGGGCACAGTTTGGTCCATCCAGCATACAAGGCTTGATATGGTGATTTAAGTGTCCAGTATCCAAGTTGTAGCACTTCATTTGCCAATGAACCAGGCAAGATGCGACGTACTGACTCGAATGGTTTCACGACGTGTTTCTTTTGCTTTTTTTTGTTCTCCTCCTCCTCCTCCTAATCATCATCATCATCATCATCATCATCATCATCATCATCATCAATGTCCAAGCGATCAATTGGCTCCACAGGCGAGGCTAAAGTGGCCCATGATCCTGCACCTGCCAGACTTCCCGATAACTTTACAGTGGACAAGGCTTGAAGACCTGCCAGATGTGGAATGCATGACGGCTTTAGTGTGCAGATGCAATATGATGCAATATGCATGAAGGATTAGAACGGATTCTAAAGGATGACCGGTGTCATCCCGTGTCTTATTGTTCGGCTCGAAAGAGATTGAAGCCTCAGACTCTGACACCACAGTTGTCTCAACTTCGGTGCGAGGATGCTCGCTACACGGGCTCAGCACCCTGGCATGGTGAGAGAAGCTGTGGCAAAGACCTATGGTTTGTTTGATGATTCACAATCCTCAACGATGCAGCTGGCTTCATGCTTTGCAGCGAACTCTGCATGCCTTCATTGTATGAACGAAACGAATATTTAGCAAACCAAAGGATGCAATTACACTGCAGTGTTAACGATGACTTGAATCGAACAATTTCATTGGCTGACTGCAGTGACTACATTACAGATCTATGTTATGTATTGTTATGTATTGAGATGCAAGTGATGTTGAAGACAACACGGTGACTGTGGCTTTGACTGGATACATAATGTTTGTTCTGTTTTTGGTCCTGCTCGGCAGCAGCTGCTGCATGTTGATTGTCACAGTCACGTCACCATCATTCGTTCCATCCTGCTGTCAAGTTTGACATGGTTGAAGTGGGCACCATCCATAAGCCATCTATTTTGTCAGATATGAGGTCATCGAGTTCAACAAATGGAGAGGTTTTGGCCACATTGCGGTGGATCAAAAGGCTTCGCGCTGTTGCATTGAGTCAGGATTGATGAGTCAAATAGATCTGTTTGAATCCTGGAATCAAGGCTAACGCCTGGTTCATCATCATTCATCCAAAATTCAGACCTGTTACCTTTTCATACTCGTACCTTTTTAACTTTCAATCGCTTGTTCTGGACATGACTTTGCAAGCGTGTTTTGAAACCAGTTTTTCTGAACTTTGACTGCAGGGTGTTGTGCCTGGCGAAGCTTGGATTTCATGGATTCATCATGGAATCATCAATGGTAGGCCCTGGGACATGCTGGTAATTTACGGGAAATTGATGCACTTGCACCACTTGCATCACTTGCACCACTCGCACCACTCGCACCACTTGCACCACTTGCATCACTTGCACCACTTGCACCACTTGCACCACTTGCACCACTTGCACCACTTGCACCACTTGCACCACTTGCACCACTTGCACCACTTGCACCACTTGCACACTTGCACCACTTGCATCCACTTGCACCACTTGCACCACTTGCACCACTTGCACCACTTGCACCACTTGCACCACTTGCACCACTTGCACCACTTGCATCACTTGCATCACTTGCATCACTTGCACCACTTGCATCACTTGCACCATTGCACCACTTGCATCACTTGCATCACTTGCACCACGTGCATCACTTGCATCACTTGCATCACTTGCATCACTTTGCATCACTCGCACCACTCGCACCACTTGCACCACTTGCACCACTTGCACCACTTGCACCACTTGCACCACTTGCACCACTTGCACCACTTGCACCACTTGCACCACTTGCACCACTTGCACCACTTGCACCACTTGCACCACTTGCACCACTTGCACCACTTGCACCACTTGCATCACTTGCATCACTTGCATCACTTGCATCACGTGCATCACTTGCATCACTTGCATCACGTGCATCACTTGCACCACTTGCACCACTTGCATCACTTGCACCACTTGCACCACTTGCATCACTTGCACCACTTGCATCACTTGCACCACTTGCACCACTTGCACCACTTGCACCACTTGCATCACTTGCATCACTTGCACCACGTGCATCACTTGCATCACTTGCATCACTTGCACCACTTGCATCACTTGCATCACTCGCACCACTCGCACCACTTGCACCACTTGCACCACTTGCACCACTTGCACCACTTGCACCACTTGCACCACTTGCACCACTTGCATCACTTGCATCACTTGCATCACTTGCATCACGTGCATCACTTGCATCACTTGCATCACGTGCATCACTTGCACCACTTGCACCACTTGCACCACTTGCATCACTTGCATCACTTGCATCACTTGCACCACTTGCATCACTTGCATCACTTGCACCACGGCATCACTTGCATCACTTGCACACTTGCACCACTTGCACCACTTGCACCACTTGCACCACTTGCACCACTTGCATCACTTGCATCACTTGCATCACTTGCACCACTGCATCACTTGCATCACTTGCATCACTTGCATCACTTGCACCACTTGCACCACTTGCACCACGTGCATCACTTGCACCACGTGCATCACTTGCACCACGTGCATCACTTGCATCACTTGCATCACTTGCACCACTTGCATCACTTGCATCACTTGCACCACTTGCACCACTTGCACCACTTGCACCACTTGCACCACTTGCACCACGTGCATCACTGGCACCACTTGCATCACTTGCACCACGTGCATCACTTGCATCACTTGCATCACTTGCACCACTTGCATCACTTGCACCACTTGCACCACTTGCATCACTTGCATCACTTGCACCACTTGCATCACTTGCACCACGTGCATCACTTGCATCACTTGCATCACTTGCACCACTTGCATCACTTGCATCACTTGCACCACTTGCATCACTTGCATCACTTGCACCACTTGCACCACTTGCACCACGTGCATCACTTGCACCACTTGCATCACTTGCACCACGTGCATCACTTGCATCACTTGCATCAATCACTTGCACCACTTGCATCACTTGCATCACTTGCACCACTTGCACCACTTGCACCACGTGCATCACTTGCATCACTTGCATCACTTGCATCACTTGCATCACTTGCATCACTTGCATCACTTGCATCACTTGCATCACTTGCATCACTTGCCACCGAGGACAAGGTCTTCGTGCACTGGAAAAATATTCAATCAGATGACCGGTTTCCTCGCTTACAGCAAGGATTGCAGATACTTGGCAGAGTTGCGACATGAAGGGGTGACCTCTAGGCATCTCTAGGCTGTAGCTGTAGCACCCTAGCCCAGTGGTGTTTTAGCGGAAAGGGTTCCAGTGGATCCCAGTGGATCCTCGTAGATCCAGCGTGTGCCGAGGGTTGAGTTTGGGCTTATGATCACCAATGACTGGCCGCTGGGCAGCAGAAATCATATGAAATCATGTCGCTAAACAGCAGAAAAATACAGGCTGCACCATGCTATAAATCCTCAGCCAAGGAAGGGATGGAACAGAGTGAGATGTTTGAAAGCCAAGACTTTGACTCTTCCTGGTGGAGGCACTGGACCGAGAATGTGGAGACTCAACTGCCCAGTGATATGCTACTAAAATCTACTAAAGAATAATAAATTAATAAACCATCCCCAAATCACCATAGGTGGTATAAACCATTCCCAAATGATCCCAAATGGCTGGTTTACTATTGTTTTACCGACATTATATATATATAGTTGATTTTTGTTGGGCTGGGTGTGACATGTTCTTTCCAACAGTTGGCCAGGCATGGTGAACATCCAAGACGCCATGGACGCTGAAAGCATGCAGAGCCTTGGCGGCTGAGGGACCACGCCCTGCCCAGCGATACCATGCAACCGCGGCCTGAGGTTTGTTGGAGCGCAAAACTTCCGCTACACGGGGACTGTAAAGCCTCTTGGATTCTACTGCAATATTTTTTAATCCAAATGAATCTACTTTAATCATCTTTAATCTATCAATATATCATTACAATCATTTAATATCAACAATATCCATTAAAAGAATGAAGCGCGTCAATCAAAGCTGCATGTTACCACGCACTCTCTTATGCCTATGGAATGCTAGTGACTTTGTTGACTTTGATGCGCTTGTGCCCCAGGTTCTTTGACCAGTTCCGTGGGTTTGGTTGGGCTCGAAGCTTAAGACTTCAATTGAGCACTGAGCATCACTGAGTAGTAGCTAAGAAAATTCGAATGCTGTTTCTTTGCTGTCAATATTTGCGAATGTTTGCTAAGTAGATCTATATAAGTAGTGCAAATTTCTGCATGCTATGAGTTCTTCAGAATATCTTAGAATGTACGAAGATTTCTCAGCCGATATGACTGGAATCCCAATCCACGACTTCTCCAGGTCACCTTAGATGAGGGCTTTGCAATGGAGGACCCTGTGCCCAAGGAAATCAAGGCCCTGAGTTGGGTATGGCTGAGGAAAATTGACAATGGGCCGATGGGCCTACAATTTCCTGGAGAATCTGGAGATGTTGAGTGGGTATACAGTATAAGTTTTTGAGCTTCCAATTTCGGAAGTGGACCAGTTTGAGCAACACCCCTTGGACAATTGGACTTTCAAAGGTTGGGACCGAAAATGTATCCCATCAGACTGCATCAAGTACGGATGACAGCCCATCGTCCTGGAAGTACACACCAATGATTTTCCCTCCAGTAGCCAACCAGGAAATGATTGGAAATCCCTATGACTATCTATGGCTCATGGAATAACAATCTAAATGGATCTAAATGGATATATACATATATATATACAGCATATATATATATATTTACAGTATATATATCATAACTTTATACAATAAAATGTTTACACATGAATAATATACACATTTATATATTGAATACATATTTAGTTGCATTTATAAATGTTTAGATTCCTATACATTTGCGAACTCACACACACGAACACACAAACACACAAACATACATTACATTACATTACATTGCATTGCATTGCATTGCATTACATTACATTACATTACATCAATACATACATACATACATACATACATCCATACATAAACATACATACATAAACATACATACATAAACATACATATACATAAACATACATATACATAAACATACATAAACATACATAAACATACATACATACATGCATGCATGCATACATACATACATACGTTACATACATACATACATACATACATACATACATACATACATACATACATACATACATACATACATACATACATACATACATACATACATACATACATACATACATACATACATACATACATACATACATAATACATACATACATACATACATACATACATACATACATACATACATACATACATACATACATACATACATACATACATACATACATACATACATACATACATACATACATATACACATATATACCTACATACCTACATACCTACATACCTACATACCTACGTACCTACGTACATACATACATACATACATACCATACATACCATCCATACCACGCATACCACGCATACCACGCATACCACGCATACCACGCATACCACGCATACCACGCATACCACGCATACCACGCATACCACGCATACCACGCATACCACGCATACCACGCATACCATACCATGCATACCACGCATACCACGCATACCATCCATACCATGCATACCATGCATACCATGCATACCATGCATACCATGCATACCATGCATACCATGCATACCATGCATACCGTCCATACCGTCCATACTGTCCATACTGTCCATACCGTACATACCGTACATACCGTACATACCGTACATACCGTACATTACACACATTACACACATTACACACATTACACACATTACACACATTACACACATTACACACATTACATACATTACATACATTACATACATTACATACATTACATTCATTACATACATTACATACATTACATACATTACATACATTACATTACATACATTACATACACACATACATTACATACATTACATACACACACATACACATACACATACACATACACGTACACGTACACGTACACGTACACATACACATACACATACACACACATATACATATACATATACATATACATATACATATGCATATGCATATGCATATACACATACATACACATACATACATACATATACATATATATACATATACATATACATAGACATAGACATATACACATACATATGCATATACATACATGTACATACATAAACGTTATATGGTTTATTGCCATCTCAGATTACTGGAGGGTATACTCAGAGCGCAGGTTGATGCTGTTGAGCTGAACACTGGTGGAAAGCCCTTAAGAATGAGAATCGACAAGTTGCTTGGCCCACGCCACAAGAACTGCCTGGCGGTTTCACCTTTTGTTTGTTATGTTTACACATTTTTGCCCCGAGGCTAGCGATTGAGTTTGGGATCATCAAGGGCAAGCCAGGGTCTCGGCTCCGATCCAATGATGTCCAATATGGCAGTGGGTCAAAACCATGTACCCCTGGTGAACATCAAAATAGCTGGTAAATGGATGTTCATCCCATTAAAAATGGTACTAATAGGTATTGATCCATAGCCATATGTCAATATCCTGCAAGCGTGGTTCGCAATCTTTGGCCGCCTCGGTCCAGGAACGGGGACTACATGGCATACAATGTCACCTTGCCAGGTGCGCAAAAATGGCAGGACCATAACCTGGCAATTTAACGATGAATTTCGGCTAAACCTGGTATCAACCCGTTGTTTATGGTGGTTTACATCCCAAGATGGATGGTTTAATGCCAACACCGGATTAATAAACCCCCCCAGAAGGTCAGAACTCTACCTTGTAGGTCCCCACCTTAAGCACCCCTTAATAAACGGCCTCTGAACCATAAAATTTTGGATATGGCTCACGTCAATTGGCTGAAAGCTATGGGGGACATTGGGAATGAATAGGCAAATCCAAAGAAAAAACATGTTGGATATGGTGGTTGATTAATCAGGGGCAAACCCTGATTATTATTAATGGGGGACATGGGCTCGTGGGGGTTACCCTTTGGGAGCTATCCAAACTGAGGATTTTTATAAAGAATTTCATTAGAAATCGATCATTTGGGGAATAGTTGTTTTTTGAAATTTTCAATGATCAAACTTAAACCTTAAGTATAACAATGATGATAAAAAAGAAATGTAAAAAACAATTGGAAATAAATAGAATTGGAAATAAAAATTGTTGGATAAAAAAATGGATTTCAGCACTGGTGGTTTATTAATCGGGGGTAGGCCAAAGTGTTTATTAATCTGGGGGGACCATCTGTTTTTAAATTACAAAAAAAATTGGGCAGTGGTGGTTGATTAATCTGGAGGGGTTGATTAATCCTGACTTGACATTAATTATGTTCAATACCTCAACCAGCCTCAACCATCACTTTCAACACCGAAACTACCACAACGCCAGGTGGCACGCCCATCACGCAGGAAGCCATGGAGCATCGGCAAGAGGAGGGAAGTTCGGGACCCAGTGATCTAAACCACGCTGAAAACGCAATGAACCGTGGGATCCGTTGGATTTCACATGATCTAACCATATTGTAGTGATTTATAGTCTATTATAGTGAACCATCAAAAACAAGTGGGATAATTAATAGTGTAACCCCGGGCATTTCATTTTAGCTTGGCTTGCACCATTTTGCACCTTAACACTGTCAATGCATTGCCGGCCCGGAAAACGATAAGAGTAAAAAAACGATAACGATGCTCATACATATACATTATAATACATTATATGTTGGTTATGGGACAGCTTGAAAGCACCAACCAGATGATATACCATTGGTCCTTGGGGTCCTTTTCCAAGGATTGTGTGACTGTAACCATGGTGAATCATCAAACAGCATTAATTAAGTAATTTGACCGCGCCAAGACAAGTGGCTTCAACGTGATTGAACCACCAAAAAAGTTGATTTGACTACCCAAAACAGTGGGTTTAACCACCAATAACTTGGATTTAACCAGCCAAAATGGGGGTATGGCCCAAGTGTATCAACTAATATTGGTTGAAAGCTGCAGGTGATTGTCCAAACAAGGGGTTGACATCCAAAATTGCCATCAAATAATGGAAAAACAGATCTTAATCCTTCGGAATTGGGAATTTCCACTTTCAGTCACTCGTTTTACAAGCGAAGTTCTGAGGTCCCATTTGATATCATTGGAATTTGGCACGTCTGGTGATATTTAAGCTGCGAAGATGGGGTTTTGCCCAAAGGTGGATGCCACTTACAGCTATGACTTTGGCAGCACATTGGGGCTCAATTCAAATAGTTATGGTCCTGGTATGTCCTGGTCCCTGGTGGATTGTGGTGCTTCGAGTTGGTTAGACAATTTGTTTGTGCCCTCAGGTCAGAGGTTTACTGGTACCATCCAGTGGTGGCACCGGTCAGTAGCCAAGCCTGTGAAAGTGCCAGCATGACAGAGACATCAGATCACCAATCATTTTGCCATTTGCCAAAGACATCTCATTATAGTAGATTATGGTCATATAGTAATTGTGCAATTATAGATGGGTAATGATGGGTTCTCAAAATTATCACCATGTTTATCCATTTTTTGGGTAAATACTAGCCGAGGTGGCAAGGATGGGGCCACATCCTACCAGATCCTGGCACGACCTTCCCGGAAGCCGTACCTTGGATTGTATATCCCAGAACTGGTTAGATATCCTAAAAAATTGCCATTGGAACCGGGAGAATTTATATAGATATGGATAGATATACATTGCATCACATATAATATGGAAATATGGATATGGATAAATATGGGAACATGATGCTTAAACTATGGGATTCGGGGCTTCCAATATTGAGGCAATCCCAGTGTGATTTCGCCTGCCCCAATACTGCCAGACTAAAATTCCCCTCCAAGGTGCAGAAGAAGCTAGATGAGACTGCCTCACAAGCTGCAAAGGCCAGAAGTGCAAGTGGGGACGGCGAACAGTTGAGAAAAGGCATGGACGTTTTCTCCATGTGCAGTGCCGCTTCAAAAACAGTTCCAACTCTACAGTTTCAACATGTTTCAACTCCAATATCATTTAATATCAATAGGGTCCCGCTCCAAGATATGTGGACATGTTTGCACTTGCGCGGCCTTTCAACCTGGAATGATCCGTGTTGGCGACATGGCGACTTTCTTTTTCAAGTTTAGGCTGAATCCTCACTTATTCCAGATATATTCCGGGTAGTTTGGGATGTTTGGGTGTTTTTTTTAATTTGGGAATGCCTGAGATTTCAGAGAAATTCCCTTGGCTTGAGGCAAAGTCTGAGGAGAAGGGGAAAGAGAAGTTGCTGTACTTCAGAAAGGCTGACACTGCGATGCCTTGATGTGTTGCCACGTGTTGCCCAGCCACATCCAGCCACATCCAGCCACATCCAGCCACCCTGCAGGCCGACTGCGAATGGAACCTACGGACAGAAATTGGGAAGAAGGTGACGTATGCAGCAACGTGGCTGAAGCTGACAGGCAAATGGCATCAAAATGCATCAAGTAGCCAAACCAAGACGGATCAAGTATCATGAAGAGCTTGGAACCGCATCAGAAGATACCAAATATCATTCATCATTAAACCATATTATATAAACCAGTTTCACAATCGCACGTGGCATAGGTGACTAGGAACAGCATGGAAGGTGATGCATTTTTGGGGCTGAGGTGTACCTGGATGACAAGGGCGCAGGTGCCAAGGATGTGGCACCTGACGGGCAGGAGCTGGGTGAAGCACAGGAATTCACAGGCTGCATGGCCAAGTCCCCAACCTGATATAGATATATTTTATGTGAATATGTTCTGCTATGATAGATATATGAGATTATCAGATTAATTATATGAGTAAAATTGAGTAAATGATTATACCTTTTTGTGAAATTTTTGGTGGTTCTGCTTCAAATCAATATCTCGGGCCGTGCAGTTCACAAGTCCAGGATTAGTCCCGGAGAAGGACGAAAACACTCTGAGCCAAAGCCATTGCAGCCTCTCAAAATGTGAGGTGTTCAATAGCAAGGGCTGATGACATATGGCAACCAGTTGATTTCAGTAAATCCAAAGGGAACCCAATCCACAACTCCCTGAGAATTGCGGTAAAATTTAGTAATTAGTTTGGACTAAAAAGCATCTAAAAGCATTGTATCGTGGCCTGATGAGGCCTGATGAGGCCTGTGATGTATTAGCTTTTCAACGAGCACTTGCAACTTTAAGATGGGCCGCTTGTAGCTATATGGATAAGTGTATTTGTCGTCTTCTTGCACTTCTGAAATTAGATTAGCGCCACAACACATAGAAAGCACTCGCTGACATCATGTCAGTAGCTTCTATGTGGCAGGTTCTCCAGCAACGGGCCTTTCTCAGCTTCCGAGAAGCTCGAGTCAAAAGACTGCACCCTTCGGGGGGTGCAGCGATGCTACAAGGCGTTTGCAGTGTCAAAGACTGAAACCAGTCATCCAGTCATGCAATACTCATTGGAATATATTGGAATATGTCAAAGATGAATTCAACTTACATACCTCAATTTAATTAGTGTTATGTTTTTGGTTCCTGGTTTGGCACTTTGGGTGATCCAGTGATCAGCATTCAACATCTTTCAACCATGTTCAGCTGTAGAAGCCGGATCCAAGCCCGTGATCAATTTGTGCACGCTGAAGATTGGCCCTTGAGTGGCAACTTGAATTGTGAAGAATTGTCAGGGAAGAGCTGTAGAATGACATGTTTTGATATGTTTTGTACCTAGTTGGTGGAGGACCGATGTTCAAAGGTATGAAGCGAGATGGAATTCCGACTTCGGGACACCACTGCGAAAAAGCTGGGCTTCAGCTGGATTAACTACTTTGAACTTTGACATTGCCAGGGTGCAGATTGCAGTCGAGTCTGCATCATAAACTCCATGCCGCAGTGGATGGCAGTACCGAGCCAGTCAGCTTCCAACAACATGATGTGGCAGTTTTACCACTTGGGGTTTATGAAAAAGTCTCGACCTTTTCCTTTCTATACATATATATAATTATATAATCATATGTATATATATACACGCACTTATATACATATGTTTATATTAGATACTATATGCATTACATACATTGGGTGTTTATGGTTTCGCACGGGGATTGCCACATGATGGCAGTTTTAGTCTGCAAGGGACATCCAATTGCTGGGTTGCGCCTGATGGATTCCTCGAGATGCGATCCTGGGAAGGGGCTTGTCCTGCGATGATGGCATGATCGCAGTCTTGGCGCTGCCCAAGGTCTTTTTCCTTGCATTTCATGTAACGGCAGGTTTGCGTCCTTTAGATTGCTACTCGGCATCGGCGCGTAGTGATGCGGCTGGCGGGTTTTCTTTCACTGGATTTGTTGAGTAATTTTAGGCTTTGCCACACCACTGTTTCGTCACAGCTTCTACCAGTGCCATGATTCAAATGTGCCTGCTTTTTCTTTGACATACGTCGCTTTGCACGGGAGCATATGGTAAAATATGTTTGGTAATTGTTCAGTGTGAAAGATGAGCAATCCCAATCCCGCCCCTTGAAAGAGATTGTATATAAATGATATGATTGTACTATATAATATTATAGTGAATCTGAGTTTTTCAGATCCAGGCAAGGAAATCACTTGGCGCAACTTCATGGAGTGCATGTGTCAACACATTTTGCGATCATTTCAGATTCAGATCATTTGCCTGCAGCAGTTTGAACGTCCTGGCCTCATGGTTTGATTGCACTCACAGCAGCCTAGGTGACGGAGTTGAAGAAGACGGTGTTCGCTGGGACGTGGTGAGATCAGATCTCTGCCACGCTTTGGGGGAGGTGATCCACAATGGCGCTTTGTCGCGGGACCTGCATGCAGCCAAGGACAGGCTGATGATAGTTGCTGTGAGCGTTGAACGGGTATAAAAAAGACCATGTTTTTGCATTTTTTGGGGGAGGAGGGTTAGGATATGCTAGGATATTAATGGATATTATGTATACATACAAATATGAGATCAGTTTCCTCCCCTGCCCGTCTACAATGGTCAAGAGGAAGGCGGCAAACCCTCCTAGATCTAGGCTTTTGGTGTCTAAAGTGAAAACCTGAGGTCTCTGTCTAGTAGTTGAGGGTATGTTTCCTGGAGATGCGCACGCATACATATATCCAGCTAAGTCCTGTTTCCTTGCTATACGCATGCATACCATACACACACATCCAGGTACGGATTCGTTTGTGCATGTTCCAGTGCCAGCGGTTCCCCCTATAAGTCTACCTTGCCAATGAAGCTGTTGGGCTAGAAGGACTCCAAAGGTCGCGACCCTGCCGTGTCCTATGGAGATGTTCAGCTGCAGCGCCATTTGGAACGTTTCCAGAAACTGGTCCTGGACTCTCGACATCTCGACCAGTAGAATTTGGATGGGATGTGGCATCAAACCACAGACAGGTTTAGCTCAACCGTGGTTTGGTAATGTAATTAGCGGCTTAATTTTTAGCTAGAAATGGTGATATACTCTCCAGCTAGGATCAACAGTTATGTATGTGTTCATAGTTTTGCCGGGCGCTTCAGAAGGGCCACACGTATCCACACGGGCTTTTGTGGATTTGCCAGAGAAAATTCCAACATTCTTTGCTCCTTTGGTGAAGTTTAGTGACTCAGTGACTCAGTCGTGGCTATGGTCCTGAGGTCCTCCCTGAACGGAGCAGGTGTCCTTTGGGAAGGCATTGCCTGAGAATCTTGGTGTCTGTCTTGTACTCTGGCTTGCCCTGGGATGCCTGGTTCCAGCGCTACGAGGAGTGCCTGTGATGTCAGCGACTTCCAAGTTGTAATGACACCGAGATGATCCGAGATGGGAAATTTATATAATAATTATAATATCTCCTGTTGTCCTGTTGTTGCTGTTGGTGTTGGTGCTGTTCTTGTTCGTGTTTACCTCACCTTCAAAAGGCTTGGTTGGATATCAGACCCCCATTGGTGGGCGTTGTTCGATTGTTTCCACCGCAACTGGCACAGGAAGATCTGTGGGGCCTCGTCCACGGCACAAACTGGACAGAGGCAGCTCCGAAAAATGCGCCCATGCATTGTAATTTTGAGTGTGGTACCACAACTGCGAGCATTATACATGCAATGATACATACATTAAATTATAGAATTAAATACATGGGGAGAGACTTACATACATATAATTATATATATATTATGTTGTTATTATGCGTGTGGTTTTGTACGATACAGTGTGTGTGTGGATTTATGTTAGGTTCAGATGTTATCCCCGGGCATGACATCAGGGTCGTTTGGCAGTTTGGCATCTCCCGGTTTCTCCAGCGCGGAAGCGAGGCATTGTCCGGCGGCTGGCCAGTCTTTGAAGTGCTCTTTCTGGTGGCAGATCTCTACGGAGGCTTCCCAGCCCTTGGAGCTTGGAAATGCTTCGAACTTGGAATGTTTTCCCTTCGGAAACTATCGGTGTTCATGGGCACCAAAAAAAAGGGGCGGGGTGATGGATGTTGAAGCTGATGACTACTGTGCCCTTGACTAAGCCTAGACATGCAGAGACGTCCTGGGAGGTGAACAACTTCCAGAAGATTGTCGCAGCGTGGAGTCCAAACTACGGGCCTTGGAGAAGCTCATTGGCGATCCAGAGATCATGACGGGGTGCTGCTCCAGAGTGTAATGCTTCGTGGGTGTTTTCCAATCTTCTGGTAGAATATGCTGCCGTTAAAAGGGTACTGTATCAGACTGCATCAGACTAAAATCAACACGTGCATCTCATTGTTTTTTTGTTAGTGGGCCCCAGGTAAAATCAATCTGCACACACACATACACTTGCTCAGAACAATCTTTGCGAATTCTGATGTGAAATGCATCGTACGTGCAAAAACATTCCAGTTATACCTGACAGGAATGGGTCGGTGAAAGGACCGAGAAGTATCGAAAAGGTATCATTTCCATAGCCAGTGCAAGATGAAATAGGTTGACAGATGGCGACAACTGTGCAGAAAATTGCACAAAACGACATGGAGGTTCTTGGGTTGAGCCTCTTCCCATCATCAGAAAATGAAAATTGAATGGAAGCAAACCCTGAACAACAGGTAATCACAATAGTGCAGGTACGTCCAGGTGATCAGCCTGGATATCCTAAGGACACCATAGAGAGCTTCGTTGGGCACAGCTCTATGGGCCTTCTGTGCCCCCCTGCTCTAACATGGATATTGAAGTTGAAAATGGCAGTTGAAGTTGACAAAGCAACACGAAGAGAAAAAGCGAAAACCAAACGAACAGCAAAAACGACATCATCAGGTAGAAGTTTTACATCTGTTCAGATGTTCCACACACACACACTAGACAAGAATGGATCATTATATGATCCGGCAGGAACTGAATCCTGAAACATGCAAACCAGCCTAGATCGTTAGATTAGTGAAGGAGCCACATGAGGTACTTCTCGAAAACGATGTAGGGTATCCAATATTGTCCAACGTAGTTAAAACCAGAGTCCAAGGTGTTTTGACCAGTATGTTGAAAATCCAAAATCCAAAATAATGTTTCGGCGATTGTTTCCCAAAAACCCAGAGTTCGTCGGCGACATGATCTCGGCGAAAATATGTCAAAGAATCATAATACTGTCGGCGATATGGTTTCGGCGAAAATCTGAGGAAGGTTCTGATGCATGCAATACAGATTGTGGCAACCGTGTAGATTCGAAACAACGCAGTGTAACAGCTTGGTCAACAGTTCAAACTGAGTTTTGCAGGTACAAGTGGTTGATCAGACCACTCATCCACCGAAATGCCATAGCTTCGTTGGACTGGATAGGCAAATCGGCTCCAGCCCCCCTGCAAATGTGAAAAGATTCCCTGCAAATGTGAACAGATTTGAATCAAAGAAGTTTTACATCTGTTCAGATGTTACACACACACACACCCCGCGTGTAGCGGGGTTTGATTTTTTGGATGAGCAACGCAGCAAAAGTTGGCAAGATTATTCAAATACAAAAACCTTTTCCGGTGCTAATGTACAGAGCCGTGTTCAATCACTCAGAAGGGAGGTGCGTCCCAGCTTGAAGTGTTTGGATCGCGTCACGGAAGCTCATGTCCTCGAGCATCCTCCACATGTCGTTGAGTTCCCCCGATGCCATAGCAGCCCTCAAAGTGATGGAAAGTTGTTGGGCCAGGTCCTGAATCTTCGGAGTAAAGTGGGTTGCCTCCGTAGGTGCCGTGGGCTCAATGGGAACATTGTGGTAAGGGTGATGTCCATGTACTAGAGGAATTTCAAAGTGATGTCGCCAGTAATCCGCTGTGCGCAGGGACCACTCCCAGTTGCCCGAAAGACCGTAAAAGTAGTGCTCAGGATCACGACATTTGGAAAGCCCGGACAAGGGGATCTCTTCAATGAATAGCTCCCTGGTATTGTTGGAGTGGGTAATGATCTTGAATTGGATCTGGTGAACCACGCGGGAAGAGAAGTGAGCACGATGTAGGTAGTGGTATGCAGGACGTTGCTCCGTCGGAAAAGGGACGTCAAAAGGTGCGAGGCCTGAATATGTATCAGAATGGGTCGTGGTTCCAGTGTCGGTAGTTGTATTGTCAGCTACCAAAGGTGCTGAAGGGGTCCCAGTAGTAGGATCAGGAAGACCAGAAGGACATAGTGTAGAAGCCGGGCCGTCTGGTGCTTGATCTGGCTTGGTAGGAGCAAGTCCACGGTTGGGATTCGAAGGCCAAGCCAAGCCCGCCACGGTAGCGTCACGTTTATGCTCCATGGGTGAAACGATCAGAAATGCGTGAGATGGTGCAACAAAAGCTGAGGTATCACGAAAATGCGAAAGTAAGCCAAGCCCAAGAATAAGAATAACCAGAAAGATGATAAAAGTGAGGTCCAGTCATCAATCAAGGGTTCAAGGTTCACGGAAAGGCAATAGGTCAAAGCCTAACAAAATGGAATGCCCAGAATCCTTCGTGTTGAAAATTGTCAACGGTAAAACGACAAACCCTCGAGCATGGTCTTTTTTGTGGCCAGTGAGCGTATCACGGCAGGATCACACCGGGAGTAACTTTGTTGCATCGTAGACGTAGCACGAAAGGCTGTGAGGTACCCGGGACTAGCAAGGAGGATTCAATGTAGTTGTACTGTCGGAGTTGTACTGTCGGAGTCGCCATTCGGGTCGGTATTCTTCCAGAAGCTGCATGATCGTCATCTCATTGGGGACTTGGAACGAATCACCTTCCAGGTCGCAATAGCGAAACTCCAAATTCGAAGGGTCAAACTGGATGTCCCATTGGGTCCTCAATCTTTTTGAAATGCGGAAACGTAGTTCTCCAATGGGAAGGACGCCGGCTTCCACTGGTCCCATCTGACGTGACCAGGTGAACAGACCTTCAAGTTCGTAGCCAGTAACATTTTTGAGGTTTGAGCTAGCCAAAGCCATATAGTGTTCACGGTCAGGTTCGCTGCGATGAGTCAGTTCCTGTAAAGGAGGGTAGTCAATCAAAATAAGGATAGGTCGGTATGGAGGAGGGTTCAAGTGACCAGGAAGGCCTCGGGGTCCAGCAAACCATCCAATGGTGCGGGTGCCCTCTGGTGTATCAACCGTAGCTGTAGCGCGATATGGATGGGGCCGAGACGAATGAGCCATGGCGTTGAATGTCGGGTATCGAGTATAAAGCGAAAAGCCCAAGCTGCAACATAGAAGGACAATGACCAAGGAATAAATCCCCAAAAATTGGAAAATGGAGGGAAAAGGTATACCGAATGAGTAGTCACAAATCGACGTGTGTTCACCGTACTTTTTTCGATGCCGACAAATAATGTGGTGTATTACACACTGGAGTCAGACATATCCATCAGGTCCGTCTCGTTCGCTTCCAGTGGACCATGTACTTGTTGAGGAGGGATGGTGGGGCGATTGAGAGGTAAGGTACGTTGCAATGTTGCCGGTGGTGAAGAAGGTGGTGTAGACCGCCATGGTGGCCAATATAAAGAGGTGGTGGTTCCTTGAGAGTGGTGTTGGGCGGAACGTCCCCAGCATGACTGTAAAATATGGAGTTGGTCCGGTATCGCTTCGTACGGTTGGGAGACGTAGACGTTGGAGTGTACCGGGTGTGGTAGAACAGGACCAGCAGTTGCCGTAGGGGAGGAGGATGATTGGAGTGGTACGTCATAGTATCGGCGCCAATGGTTGGCCGTGGTACGTAGGGTAGCACAATCGTTGGTGAGGTGCATGTTCTCCAGAAATGTTTCCACTGGTTTCCACGTTTCAATACCATCAAGTGTCCTTTCCACGATCCAAAGTTCATCTGGACGAGTAGATAAAGGATAGCTCAGCTTCTTGATGAAGACGGAATGGACGGTGGTTGAGGTTGGAATCATTCGCGCTTCACGGGGAATATATGATGCCGAGGTAGGATCATCCGGTGGTAGGTGTGGAGCGAGGCCATGTGCGGATGTAGGTGAGGAACGGTTTGAGACAAATCGGGCATTGTCATCCGTGTTGGAAGTCATCATGTACAGTAGCAATAATATGATATCGAGATAAACTGAACTGAAGCCAAAAAGCCGTGGGAAAAGGTCAATGATGGAAGGACGAACCACGAACATCGCAATATGTAAAAAGGAGAAGCAAGGGGGACAAAAGAAACCCAAAAACCGGGGTGGCGGACATCATACCGAGTGCCTTTTCCTTTTCTCATAGATGTGAGCGTCGCCAAGTTCTGTCTCCAAGGTTAATCACTCGGCCGCTTTAGTGTATCTGGTGGCCGTGACGAATGGATGCCCACGGGGAATCACTTGAACATGTACAGCGAAGCCTGTGTCTTGTGCATCTGGATGGGGTGTCAGCAGCAAAGGTGAACACTCACGAGTCGTGAAGGCATCGAGATGTTGATGAGTTTTCCATCTCGGGTAGAACCAGTTCAAAACGTCCAAAAGAGAATGAGGGAGGTCGTCAAGCATCTGAGCTCCTTGATCAGTATCAATCATCATGTAGAACTCTGACGCTGGTAGGTGTATCGACCATCGTTGTAGCAACGTGTCGGTGACCACAGTTTTGAGGTCTGAAACAAAATGACTGCGAGCATAGTCCGGGTAGATCACCTTGAACGTCTGAAACAGGCTATCGTAGGTGGCCGTAGGGAGGTTGCCCGCGACCTTAGGGGTCAAGATGTTGTAGTAAGGGTTGCGGACGGCAAGTTGCTGCATCGGCTTCAGGTCCAATTGGAAAATGACCGGCCTGTGGGGTGTCGTGGGCGGAGTCCGGTTGGGTGGGTGCTGAAGTGACGAAGAACCCATAGCGGAAGACGATGCCCTTGTTGGAGAGCGTGAGCGTCGTGTAGGTGAGATCCTCTCGTTGGACATAGCTCTCAGTTGGCAATAGCGGTCCAGGTGAATGCGGAGAGACATAATAAATGGCTAGCAGGTGAAATGATACGACGTGTCAAAATTCAATGGGGCAACCACGCCCGAGGTTGTGAAGATCAACAAAAGGAACAATGATTTTCAAAGAAAAGGCCAACTGGTTGGTGAGACTGTGATAAAGTGCCGCAAACTACCTTTTTCTTGTGGTTCGCATATGTCGTTGGTCAGCCAAGTTTGTCTTTGATCTTATTCCACATAGAGCGAACATCTTCCTCGGACTTGCCCATCTTGGTCGAGAT